AATCATATATCGGCTATCAGAAGATTTTCTGTTGTTCCTTGTCAATTACTGTGCATAGCATCCTGCTTATCAGGTTTAGTCCCCATAAAACAGCAATAGAATGAGGATTTTTGCGATCTGGGCAATTGACACTGCTATTTTAAAAATATTAAGGAATAAAAAAGATTTTAAAAAGATTGTAAAGATTAAAATCATATTCATCGTGAAAATACAAGCTCGCTTGATTTCATTTCATGAAATAATTTAGGATGCAACTGGATGGGTAAGAGCTCCATTTTATTCTCCTCCACTGTGTTGTTAAAACGCACATTTTCGGAGTTTGTAATTCAACTACACTAGTAGCATAAGTCCCAAATGCTTTTACTTGAATCTTATTAACTCGTTATTTTATTCGAATATACGGCTAACAACAGCACATCACTAATTGACTGAGTGTTCTTGATTTGCGTTTTGCAGTCAGTACTTACAGGTTTGATAAAGTAGTCATACGTCTTACGAGCCGTCAGCTCGTAATAACTCCACATCCTTAAAGTTCCTATGTCACCACATCAGGATGCTGTTTAACATTCTATACGAGCAGTATCCATGACTTAAAATGAAGATGGAACTGGTATTCTAACAGGATAAGGTTCAATGATGTACATAGTAAAGTTATGTAGGAGAACTAATTTCAAGCTTTATTTTTTCCCAAGTATCTGTTTTCCGTACAGAACAGACTTGATTTTTTGTTAAAGCGAAGACAATGTTCCTAAATTCTTTATGTGCCCCACTGAATGACTAGTTAGCAGATTGTTCATACGAAGTAAAGTCAAAAGGAGTAGCAACCATGTAATTTCACCATAAACGAAACTTATGTAATTTAAATATCTATCCATACCTGTATGTTTGGTGTGTTCCTACACAGGCAGGAATAAATATATTATTGTAGTGTAAGAAGGTTAACTGCGTTTGATATATGCTGGTATAGTGTAGCTAACTAACAGCACTAACAGTACCTTACAAAAGGGAAAACAACGAGATTGCCTTATTCATGGAAGTTGGATGGGTTCCCTGGAGAACGAATGAGAATTATCGACTTGCTTAGCAGACAGGCCCTTCTCGTACAGAATCATTCCATTTTAGTCTAAGTTAGGTGTTTCGGTTAATGGATGAAATTGCTGGTTACACTACTGAACTCCACTGTTATCCTTATGCTAACGTTACATCTGACAGACTCTGTGAGTTCCATTCCAAAGTATATTTTGCTAGCCAAGGTGATCACTGGAATGTACGTCTCCCGTTTCGAAATTTGGTCACGGTAAAAAGTCATATGGACTTCATCTCAGTCTCAAGAAATTAGAGATGCAATCTGCTAGTCGCAAGATGGAGAAGGGTAGCAGACATAATCTAAGAAAAATGTGTAATGTAATAAACTTCATGGTCAAACTGAGAGCTTCTAAACCAACTGGAGACAGATCACGACTCAATTTAAACACCCAGAAATTGAAGGATGAAACCATAAAAGGGGCGCCTTTACAGCAGTCATCGGAGCAAAGTCAAACACGTAATGTAGTATCACTGGGGAAACAGGCGTGGAAGAACAGCAGAACTCTTTGAAACAGATGTTGAAGGGAACCTCCAAAGTCGTCTTAGGATGGTTTAAGTGGCAAGACATAGAAAACGCTTTATAGATACGTGAATGCCAATAGAGAAGGGCGGGATGGTGAAACGGAGGATGAACCCGCACAAAGATGAAAAGCGACGAAAAACTAAGTTTGACACACAGTGAACTGAACATAGGAGAGCTAGGAAAAATAAAAGACAATTCTAGAACACTGGGGGATCAAGCAGAAAAGACCTCCAGTAGGTTGGGCCTCAGAACGCTGCATCCAGGACGCACTCAGGGAAAGATCAACAGGGATGAGACCAATGAAAGATACTGAAGGCAACCCAACTACGAAATAGCAGGAGCCAATTAAACAATTCTCTGATCACTTTATTGAACTCTTCAATGCATCGCCATATGAAATTCATCCAAAACTTGCACCAACAGTCAAAGAACTGTTAGTAAACACCATCCCTTAGACTAAAGCGGTTTTGAACGACGTAAATTTACCGAAAGCGCTTCAAAACAGATTCCGCCGGAAGCACCAAAACAGATCCATATACCTGTCTGCAAATCATCGTCAATAGGTACACTTTTCAACAGCCGTAATTGTTATATTATCCTTTCTCTAGCTGCAGCAATGTTAGGAAAGGGCCGACCACCAGCTTGGGTGGGCCAGGATAAAGAGTCAGAAGGTAGGGTGGCTAGGACTCAGGTCTAGCAGAGCTGATAGCCACACATCAGTCGTGGGCGCCACATCTAGTCGACGCCAGCCGGAAACGAGTTCGAAATCATTCAAGTAGCCTGACTAGCTGGTTTTGTAGACCATAAGTGAACTTGAGTAAAGCAAAAATGAAATAGTTACCAGGATATGAGGTCACTGTCTATTATTTCTGAGTTTTCCTTCAGCTGGATACAACCTGAAAAGTACAAAACATTTACGTGAAAGATTTGCACAATAACATGGAGTATATAGTAGAATTGTAGGTAACACCAACCTGGAATGGTGTAATTCTAAGTAATGTACTGTCTAGAAGAAAATTAGACACATATTCTTTGAAAATGTTGTTCTGCTGATTTCCCCCAAATTTTGCTGCGCTGGCACTATCTGGATTCTATGGTTCCTTCTCTTATATGTCATGTACATGTACTTTCAATGATCTATTATCCCTTATTGTACATAAAACCATTATACGTGAGCTCAGACAGTTGCCGCTGGAGGCCATGGTGTTATATAGAGTTTCTAATATCAGTCTTGGCAACGTATTGCCAGTGAAGTTATTTTGACTGCAATGTGGCTGGCAGCTGCATCATCTCGTATGTATTAGCAGTTAGAAGATATCAAGGCTACTGAGAATTGATCTATGTAATCCGTCTTTTGGCGATCCTTGGGGATATAACAAAGGCGATTAGTTCTTAAGTCTAATGACAGTTCAGAATTAAGGCACTCATTCGCCATTCCTGAATCTCTGCTCATTGAGGTATTATCAAATGCCTCACTTTCTAATGAAGATTTAGGTTACTCATAGGGCTTGAGTGGTTATTTCGTGCTAACACTGTGCAAGAAGGAGCCTGAGTTTGGATTAGGTGTAATCTTAGTGGAGGCTTTTGATTTACTGTGAGTTTCTGGTAATCTGCGATGGGAGTTTATAACTTTCCAGGTTTATGTATTAATTTATCTGACGAGGTCCTTATCGGTAGTAGTCGTAATGCTGTCAGCTATAGGAACCGAAATAGAACAGCTAACCAAAGGAGTTATCGAACATTTAGGTGAGCTTTGTGAATCAACGACTTACATTCACCTTGATTGAGAACCAAACATCAAGATACATCTCTTACTGCCAAAAGACAACGGTTTCGATTGAGACATATTAGGCTTGAGCATAATCTGATATCCTGTATGTACCGTAAATTTAATCAGTTTGGGTTCTGAGTAGGGTCGGTGTTTTCAGTGATATTTATCTGGTTCAGCGTTTTACAAAGCGCCAATTCAGCCTGATTATATCTTGCAGGCTTAAAAGATGCTCGTCTGCTGAGGAACAGATCCAAATGTTTGGATAAGTTGTGGATAATTATATCTGATCAAAAATCTTTCACAGATAGCTCTTTAGGATAGTGATGGGTATACCACTTCTTTCATAGAATATGCATGGAAGAGAGCATTTTTCACTTTACCTAATTGGGGATTATCAGTTATTCTACAAGAATTACGAGTTCTTCCTCGTATAAGACATTTCTGAACGTTTAGGTCAACGAAACTGACAGGATTAGGCGTTGGTACCGGTGATATTCTAGAATGATTTATGATATTTCTGAGGTTCCTCATTGCCAAAATCTAAGATTTCTGTTGAAGTCTTTTCACCGCCCTTGAAGTGAGTTTATATGTTACTGTCTTCATGAAAACGGTTTCCTAATTTACGACATGATCCAAAATGCTGCATGATACTAACAGAACGCCTGCCTTATTCCTGGTGCCCATAAACCCTGAAACTTCACTGTTGCATTTCGAAGTGGTTTTACACATAACTTCAAGTGGGATCGTGAAAAACACTCAAGCGACCGGGTGACCATAGCTGAATCTGACCAGTTTGAGATAATAACCAGAATAATATCGCAAAACTTTAGACTCCGGATGGCTGAACTCAACCAGATTAACAAGACTGATTTATGAATTAAAGGTTGGAATTAATATACCGGCCGTTAAGTAGTAGACTAGATCTACAAAAGTCATAAGCAAAAATGTTCCCCGAATAGAACCCGTAAAAGTAAAGTAGACATCTTGTCATCACCATGTCGCTTAATTCTGTTCAGTGTTTGATCATAATGCTAAATTATGGTTATAATGGCGTAATTTTAGTGACGAAGTAGCCTCACAAGAATGTGTGTTCACAAAGTAGTGAAAATGGTCTTCATTATTTGATGCACCTAAAGATACTGAGAACAATGGCTGAGAAGGCATTACTACTCACTTATATAGTTGTTGACAGAGGAAGAGAGCGACCAGACCGACCTACTTGATTCATGTGGTCATATCGGTTGTTAAAATATGACTACCAGTTAGTGGTCCATATGATACATAATGACTTATACATCAGACCATTTGATATATCCGGGTTATAAGAGTATAACTCGTTACACGAATTTGGTGCTCTCACCGTTTTGTGAACAAGTTTAAGTACCCATCAGCTCATTTATTTCCCACATTTCGGGAAGTTCATGGTGAAATCCTTACAATGTATGTTGTTAAACAGATGGAAAGGGAATCTCAGAACCTTCAAGGTTCCTCAGAGTAGCGAAAATGGAGTGGCCAGATTAACCAAGCCAAAAACCGATAATTAGTAAAAACCATTCATCAGCAACTAAAAATGAGGTCACTTCAGTCAGACAGATTCAAAGAGCAGTGAATCCATATAGGCGGGTGTTTTGATTGTTGCGTCACTCTCTTAGGGTTATGACGATGTGAAATGAATTTCCTATTGTAAGTCGCATGTAGCGATAAGATATAGTATTTATATAAAAGAATGAACATTGTGCATGTATAAAAAATTGGGGTCCTGAAAGCTAAGCATATTCGTGCATTAAACCTAAATTTATGTAGGTTATGAGCAAGGTGTATGAATCTTAGCTGTCATATGCTCTCGTTCTCCTCATTAAGGATATAGTGTGGTATTTTACAGCGATACAACTGAATAGAGCTAAGATCCTTAATTACAAACCTCTTCCCTTAAAGTACAATTATGTGAACAATTGTTCCGCTAATCAAACTTAGAGAATTTCCCAGCCAGCAATTTTTTTGGGGCAGACCTAGGGCGCATTGCAGATTTTTTGGGGCACTTCGGGCGCATTGCAGACTTTTTGGGGCATACTTAGGGCACATTTCCGATTCCGACTTTAACTAAGGGCGCATTGCAGATATTTTGGGGCAGACTTCGGGGGCGTTGAAGACTTTTTGGGGCAGACTTAGGGTGCATTGCAGACTTTTTGGGGCAGTCTTCGGGGCGAATACTCAAGAACGGCAATGCGCCCAAAGTTTTTTGCCCCGAAGAAATGCTAGCTGGGTTATAGTGATTAATTGTAATGAGTTCCACTATCAGGTTCTAATGTAGAACTGAGGTGCCTTGTTATGCATGCTGCATAAATCAGTTAAGCTTTTTCCCTGAGTAGAAGATATTGCTTCAGTCTAACTCCTATTCGCTCTGAAGACAAAGTTAAATTATCATGGTCAAAACCACAGTAACCTTGAACAACCAATCAGCTTTCAGATGCAAGAAGTCGCATAATTGCTGAAAAAAAATCACTGAAGAGCATTTCAAACATTATATTTCACTGTATTATTGTAGCTTATGTGTTAAAAGAATGCCCTTCAGTCACTAAACAGATGATCTTTAGAAAAATTGTACCATTCGCGATATCTCCATCCATCCAGGTGATTTTAGGTCATGGTGCTTTGAGCTACATCGATATTTCTGACACTTCAGCTTACTCTTAACTCTAACCATAATCCTAACTCCTAATCTTAACTAAACCCGACCTCAACCCTAGACCCCAAACCTGAATCTTAAGCACCATTACTCTACCTAAAAGTAGGAAATAAGTAGAATACCGTGTCTACCCTCTTCCAAGTTCAAAACGACAAGTATGATTTGATTTCGAATGACTTTTCAGAGCATTCCCTGTATCTGATCGGTTCTTGAGGGTCAACTTTTGAAAGACCTTGACTTTGGCTGTGATAATTTAACTTCGCCGCTGAGGCCTAATATATGTTTTTATATTACAACTAGTGGAATGTCTTTTGACTCATCACCTGTGCATCTTCAGACTCCTCGATAACTGCCTCGTGTATTGCATTTAGTATTGTAAAGGATGATTTGTAGCTAATTGATTGAAGTGACTAAGGAAAATGTTTCAGCTAGTGTATTAGTCACAATATTTTATCTGTTGGTTTTATGAAATGAATGTCAGATAATGTAGAATTTCCTCGGAAGTGTTGGATGCCTGGTCACTCACTTTCATCATGCGTGTTCTAGTATTTCCAGTAGCATATATATATATATATCGTGTTTCTTAGCAGTGTAGCATCTCACGTCAGTATCTAATAGAATTAAAAGTTGAGACATCTTGAAAGAATGGATTGTAAGGGACATCTCTGATGGACTAAAAACATAAGGTAGGCAATAGTTAAAGTTTCTCACATGTTATACGAGATTTCAAACTCAAGAGACCTGAAAATTAAAAAAAAAACAACATTGAACTTAGAATCCCTAAAGAAACAATTATACTATGTAAATAATGCTTTATTCTCCATATGATTGCCGATGGTTCAACTATCTTTGTATGATCCAACAGTGTGGACATGCAATTACCCACTTTGTTCAGTTATATTACCTTTACCACCAGTAACCCTGGTAGTTTCTAGTATGGACTGTCTGGTACAGCAGTATGTATGAAGTTGTGATAAGATGTCATCTCATTAATACTCGTTCAACAATGCAATTCAGGCCTGACGAGGAAAAGTATTCGTAACAATATAAGTAACCTATGTGAAATAGTGTACAGATGATCCTTCTAAAGTTAAAGAAATGGGTTCTGGGACAAACTCAGTCAGTAAAACATGAGGGAACTTTCGGAAATTATTGTTTTAGGTCCACCGTATAATTTATATTGAACGGTAAACTGATAATTTAACTTATAGAATAAGATTTCACTGAGCTTAATAGAAACTCAATACAAAGTTGAGATTAAGGAAAAAAGATTGATTTTGGGAAATCAGGTATTAAGAGGGCAAGACAAGTCAATAAATCTCTGGAAAATGTTGAGAATAACTTGGGGAAAATAGGGAGTGGTTTCCAGCATCCCTTAAGTTATTGGTAGCCATTTAAATTCAGAATGGATGGTAGATGTGTCTCAAACTGTTTCAGATGTGGATAAACTCATAATAAACCTGATGGACCATTTTCAGGAGCATTCAAGTAAAATGAACTGCTGTTACCTTAGAATAAAATTACTAAGACTTCAGGTATTGGACTCACATTGACTTTATAATACTTACGTTAGATGAAATGCAGTAGAAATTATGCCTAAACTTTGAGGTAAGAGGTGGTACCTATGAGTCTGCATCTCTCCAGATGACTGAAACGTGCGTTATTGATACCATCTATCTGTGGTGCCGTGATTTCATCTGATTATCTTTCTCCTATTCTTCAAACTTAATTTTACACGCGATAGCATGGAGTTATTGAAGGTTCGTTTAATCTGTGTGAGGAAATGTAGTTTGGCATTTGCCATTTTACTTAACTTAAAGATACAAATGTGGCAATTTGAACGACTACTAGACTGTGTCAAGAACTTTTTGTTGTTGTTTTCATATGACTGTTCACTCAAAAAAATTGTCCTTAAAAAAGTGGAACTCTGGATTCTCTGTACCATGATGGTTTACCCTTTAAATTAGATTTGTAATTATGATTCTGGTTAGTCTGTGTGTATTACGTGGAATAAATAAAAAAGGCATAATTAAGATGACCTTTCGGTGTTTAGTTGCATGCAAAGCTCATTGTCTAATCTATATACACACTGTCGAAAACTGCTAACTGCATTATGGAATAAAGGGTATGATATAGCTCAGCAGCTGCCCACAGATTTATGCACCCACATGTGAGCAACACTTTCTACTGAGCTGTCTATAATGTTATCTGGAGGCCGAAGTTTGCTCACCCACATGTCTATATAATCCATATGTATACAAACGATCATTAAAAAAATTTCATTATTGTCACCCAGAAGTTCTGAAGGTTAATGGGAACGAAAATTATGGGCCTATAATTAGGTGAGTTTATTTTTTTCCGTGGTGCAAAGTTTCAATAGTGACATGGTGGAGATCATGTGAAGGGGAAATGAAAAATTGTTAACAGTTGTGGAGCCATTTGAAAGTGATGGCTGAAGTCATGTGTGTTTCACACAGAATTCATGAAAACAAAAGTCAGTTGAGGTTCTTCAATCTTTCTTATCCTATCCGATAACTGCTATCTTCAGGTGGTGACCTGGGGCGTGTAAATTCCAATGACTTAACAAACTACACTGACTAGAACTAGTATTCCTGCAGGACCTACCCTATCAGAAAGGTCGTTCAGGTAGCGCTTAGAATAAAGGCAGTTATCATTATAGTATGATTTACTTACACTGGGTTCTGTGGATGAAGTCATATTACTGGCGGATAGGGATTCAACAGAAGTAAGGCGTTTCCATCAGATAAGCAGCATGGCAGGTGTTGTACTGCGTCTCCGCTCTGGAGAAGAGGGGTTCGAAAACACTCATCCCGAAAATAGCACAACCCAACTCACCTTGTGGCGCACCGTAGCCGTAGATATTATTACAGGCACAATTCCAAAAAGCATTTCAAACAGGCCGTGTGTAACCGGCATCAAGTAGTCATCCAAGAGTAGTGCTCCTTCAGTTTCAGGTAGTATAAAGAGGAATCAAACCCCATAATGTGCGCAGCCGACACACTTTCATAAAGACATAAGGCTTTCATTATATATATATATGTCGGACTGGCTACTGGAGACTTTTATCAACCGCTGCATGCATTCACTGGCTCCATACTGCAGATTAGATTGTCGGCCAGAGACAATTAACAACAGCAAAGCAATCAAGAATCTATTGCTCAACAAATATATGACGAAGGAAATGGAGGTTGTAGAGATAATAAGATGCACACTAAGGTGACCGTTGAGTAACATCATGCACCATGCCATCGCTCAAGTGGGGTACCAATAGGCAGCGACGAGTTGGGCGTCTAAAGGTGAAATGGGGGAAATTCGTCTAAGTAGGAGGAGAAGGAGAAGGAAGAGGACATAAATGCTCACGAACAAATTGTTCAGTTACTTACTTTACTTTACTTCGGCTATCTCCTACGGGAGGATGAGCCGGCTTCATGAACATCTCAAATCATCGCTGCCCAGGCGAGGCGATCTGATGCAAGGTTTTGCGACAGAGTTATCCAATTCTTGTTCCACAGACGGAGTCCGTAGACGGTTTGTAGCCCCAGGCACTCCATAGTCGTTTGTAAGAGAGTTGATGAAGTTTCATGGGAATTTGGTACGAGTGATGTCCCCAGAATCGCTCGGCCTTTTGTTTGAGAGTGCAGCTCTAGCCTTTACACAACCAAGTGTGACCTGCAAGGCAGTAGGAGTGGAGTATGTAGTCCACTATCCATTGGCAGCCGGTGACCGGAGTTCGGTTCGTACGCCTTTTTGAATGGGGCCAGACATCCAGGACATCCAACAAGCCCTTTGTCCATACGTCTGCCGGTGAGCTCCATTGAGCTTCATACGCCAGTCGTTGGAGGTTTGGAATCAGGGTTTAGCCATCTCCCCTAGACTGTCATCCGATGGACAGTCAACCCGGTGAAGAGCGCCGGGCATCCGCTGAAAAGGACTGCAGAAATCCGGGGGAATGTATATTAAGGTCTGTCAATAATATCAGATAACTTCACATAACTCACAGAAATATCATCACTAATTAACGGGCAGAAATCCGAGGGAATTAGATATACTAAGGTCTGTTAATAATATCAGATAACTTCATAACTCACTGAAGTATCATCACTAATTAACGGAATTCATCCAATAAGACAAACAAATGACATCAACTTTCACTGTTTAAATACTATTGTATTTTTTAATTATTTTTTTTTTGATTTTAAAGTTATTTAAAGTACACATCAGTCCAAGAGACTAAATGCTGATTTGATGTCATTCGTTTCACTGCATTATGTAGTGAGATACACTCGCCCCATATATATATATATATATATATATATATATGTCATTCTGTTATTGGTATTCGACAGAATATATATGTATATATATATAACTGAAAAAACAAACAGTAGTAGTAGGGTGGTACACACTGCAAGCGTGCATTTATTATTTCTGTGTATGTCCCCCCCACACCATTCTCACTGTATATCTATTCTAGGTGCGTACTTGCATACACCAATGTACTAATATATATAAATTTTTAATTTAATAACTCACAATTATTGATTAGGTCTTTCATTTCAATTTTTTGTTCACATGACTTGAAAAGTAATTTATAAACAAAAATGCATAAATATATAGATATGCATATGTATTTAACTAATTGTGTATGTAGATAGATTCGCCTATTCAACTTGATTGAATCACTCATTCACTCACTCGCTAGTTACTCACTAACTAACTAACCAACTAACTAACTAGGCTAACTACAAGAGAAGCCAATAAAATGATTGTGCATATCATATTTAGTCATTTTTGGCGGTTCAATCTATATTTTGAAGAAACCAACAACCAAAAAACCCTCTCATCATCATCATCATCAACAAATCACGAACAAAATCACACGACTTCTTTTTTTCTTTTCTTGTTAAATCAAAAATAAATAACACACAATAGTTGTTGTTGTTGCTGAGATATAAATTCTGATACTTTTATATAGTTTACCTGTAGTGTAGCACTAGTTGTATTATTATTATTATATATATATATATATATATATGCAGTACATCGACATCGCCATCTCTTTCATCATCACAATCAACAATATCACTATCAACAGCATCATTTAAGTTCAGTATTGTATTTTGTAATACAGAATAAGTAAAGTATTTTATTTAAAAACGTGCTCAATCAACTGTTTTATGTGCATGTAGGTTATACCCTTTTGTTTTGTAGTTTTCACTGCATATATCTATATATATATGTATATGTATTGGGTGTCCTTTGTTTAAATTAACAATATATATATATATATATATATATATATATATATGTTTACGATACTGCTACTAATGCCTAAGTTGTTTATTACAAATACAACCATCTCTCTGCATAATGGACTATGTATTTAATCTGAAATTATTATCACGACTTTTCAGTGGGAATCGGTTATGCAGTAAAACATTCAAGCCGAGGAAAAACGCCTCTGAGCACAATAGTAATAATAATAACAACACCAATAATAACAATACTAATACTAATAATAATCACAACAACAATAATAATCATGATAACAATAGTAAACAGCATGATATACTACCAGAGACAGCTGCTACACTTGGAAGTGGTGATTTAAGACTGGCTGTTCGTCTTCCAGAAGGTGAAGATCTACACGAATGGATCGCCATAAATAGTAAGTCTTTCCTATGTGTGTGTGTATGTTTATCGCTGCTTCTTAATGTCTTTTGAAAGTCAGTAGAATATATTATTATTATTGTTATTATTTGACCTTGAAATGGTATCACGATGAGGTGTTTTGTTCTTCAAGGTTGTATTACTTATTTTATGTATTTTTTTTGCATGAATTTATGGTGTTCACTTGTGAGTTAGTCGATAAGGTTGTGAAGCAGCGCTACATTGATTGAGGAGATGGATAGGATGTGTGATGTGTATGACACGAGCCATTGCCTGCCTCGACGAGGAATGTTAGCTAAGTTAGGATGGAGTTGGAAAAAAGTTAGGGATGGCTAAACCAAACTGTGCCATCATTCCGTGAAGTCTTCGACTGTTAATACAAACCATGTAGGGAGCTGAAAACTACCTTTGTGTAAGGTGCTCGAGGGGATAAGAACTTATGACTGATCAAAGGTTGGATCATTCTCAGTGGCGCAGGTGCAATCTACCGGATGCAATAAATTCTTATGATATTCCATGTACTTATTCTTCCTCTCATACATTTCTGTTCAATGTAGTTCTTTTTTCTGGATTTTTTTCTCTACTCTTTTGTGTGCTATATGGACTGTGGCAGTTTTGAACGCTTCACACTTTTGTGTAAAAGGGTGTGTGTACTGCTCAGTAGCAGTTCGCCCCGTCATCCTCTATGGCTTTGAGTGAGACATGGCCATTGAAAATGGAACACATGAAAACGTTGGCTAGCTGTCTTTGATCATAGGTGTCTGCCTCCTATCTCCCATGTCAGATGGTGGTATAATAAGGTGAGGCATCGGTCGAGTGTTAGATAGGTGGGAAGGGAAATCAATCGAGAGGTTGTGAAGTTACATCGATTGAGATGGTTAGGACGTATGCTACACATTCCTATCCTAGTCATCGCCTTCCTCGACGACAGGCGATGTTAGCTGACTGACACAGGATGGATCAGGTTGGAAGAGAGTTGGCTAGTGGTGGTGGTCCAACCAAAACGGCTTCACCAGTCAATGAAATCCATAACATTTAAAACAATTAGTCCCTTGTATAAATTTGGATAGTGTTATTAGAAGACGGAGATTATCTGAAAAGGTGTGTGATGTATTTGCGCTATACATTGTGTTAATCATTTTTAAATCCTTTTTTCTCTCTCACTTTGTTTAATTTAATTGCCCTTAATTTTTTCATATATATATATCGACTTGACATGTAAATGTGTGTGGAATCAGATTGTTCGAAATGTATGGCGCAAATACATCACATAACTTTTCAGATAATCTCCGTCTTCTAATAACACTATCGAAATCCATAACAGTTAGTTTGAGCCAGCCAGCCACATAGGGATATGTAGACTTCTTGGGTGGTTGAGGTCCTCGGGAAGGTAAAATCCAATGAAGGCTGGAGACAATTGGTGATATGGCCGGCTCAAAATCGTTCTCAATGACTGGCGCAGATGCATCCACTCCTTGTGACTGGAAATATCCAATAAAACTATATGGTTCCTCGATATTACTATTATTTTTGCCTCATATCTCTGTTTACTGTGTCTGATTTTGCATTTCTTTTTACTTTCTTCTCTTACTTTGTGTGCTAAATGGAGTGTGGCGACTCGAAATGCTGAAAATCAGTGCAAACTTCTACGTGAGAAACTCAGTTGGTCAAGTGTAGTTTGTCGATGCTATTATTATTATTGTTTCTTTTAATTCCTATAGGAACATAGGGCTTCAGCCGTGCGTCTCCATTGCGTTCGGTTCTCTGCTAGAGTTTTCACCTGGCTCCAAGTTTGCCCACATGCTTTCATCTCCTCTTCACATGACCTCCTCCAAGTCACCCTTGCACTAACGACCAACTCGCCGCTTCCCTTTCGGGTTCCACTCGAGCAATGGCTTGTCTAGTGATATCACTTGATGGTTTCCTCAGAGTATGGCCAATCCATCTCCATTTCTTCCTGCTTATTTGTTTCACAATCGGTTCCTAGTTGGTTCGCTCCCAGAGATCTCTTTTGCTGACCTTTTCTGGCCGGCCATCTGATCTTGAGTATTGAGCGAAGACAACTGTTAATGAAGGTGTGTAGTTTGTTTGAGATGCTCTTTATGACGCGCAGTGCAAGTCTCTGATCCGTATAGTAGCACTGACTGACTTCACATTGGAGTTGAAAATCCGGATCTTATTTTTGATGGTGAGTGCTGTTGACCTCCACACAGACTTGAGAGTAGTGAAAGCTTGTCTTGCTTTCCCGATCCTTGTTTTGATATCCTCATCAGTTCCGCCTGTAGTTGAAACGATGCTATAGTAGTTTTTAAAATTATTAAGGAAAAGCTACATAGATCCATAGATTATAGTGTGAAAGAAATCTGAATCTGTTAAGATTATGACTCCAAGATCTCAGTCGACTTCTCTGGCTTTACAGTTAAACCTAATTCTCATTATTAAGTCACACGATAGAGGGGGGCGGGTCGTTTTTGGTTTTATGCCTTTATTTTCAGTGCATCCGTGTAAGACTAGTTATGGTTCACTTAATATTTCGTATACATGCATGAGGGGGCATATATGTTACTTCTCATTTCCTCTTCACATAATCTACATGTCACCGTGGGATACCCATTTGAGTTTCACTCGAAGGCTTGATTGACGTGGGATTTGACTTGAAAGCCTGTCTCCTCAGACGATGTCTAATCCATCTCCATATGCTTCTGCATATTTGTTGGACATTGAATTCCTGAGCTGGTTCGCCGTCTCCTGAAGTTCCTTGTTGCTTATCCCACTCCAGATGGCTGGCTGTCATTCGATTTTCATCATCGAGTGAAGGATGCAGATTGTTGGTAAAAGTCTGCACAAGTCTGTTGAAAATTCTTTTGGTGATGCACACACACGCGCGCACCCCCCCCCCCGCCAAATCTCTGGGCCATATAGCATCACTGAATGATTTAACATTAGTGTTGAAAACCATCATAATCTAGTGGACAGAATTCTCATTCGATTAGCACCGGACTGGTCCGGGGTTCCAGTCCCTCTATACCTTCTTTAGTCTACCTAAATGAGTCGTATCAGCCGTATCTCTGAAGGATGTAGGCATTTTAAATAATCTCTAGTGATATTGTCTAATTGTTCAAAATTGTTGGTCATAGGATAAACGTAGAGGGTGTAGTAATGCGACACGTCCCTTTGTTTATATTCCTTTTCATTCTGAGTGGAACATGCGGTCTTGAACTCGACCTTGGAAGGTTTCATTAGTGGTTGTGTTGTTAGTCTGACCGCCCCCCCAACCCCCCGCAACCTTACATCTTTTTAACTGGCCTACTATCGGTTAAATGAAGTGTAGGAGTGCGTCAGCTGGGAATCGAACCCCAAACTGGTTGGTGTGGCTGATAAAAATCCTACTCGTTAACCAATGATGACATATCTGTTACTCACGGTTAATTTGGAGACGCAAAATTTATGCACCGCGCGTGCAGTATATGTTTTTGACGGACTTTAGGAGGTGCACAGAAGCAAAGAAAGTGTGATATCACTTCAAAGTTCGAAGGTATAGAAGAGTTATAAAAAGCTAAGACCTAATTCGTTGGAAACAACAAGATCAAGACCATGATAATAGAGGAGCCGTGTTTTCTCTGTCTGAATTCTTAAACCTTCAACAATACAAAGGAGGCGAAAGCATATTGTCTTTGCTTGGTGTGTCTTCTCAGGGTGTAGATCATTTTCAAGGAGGATTTTGTTAAGATAGAGTGACCAGGGTCAACATGATGTTCAACTGTTGTACTCTTTATGAAAGTGCTGCTACCTTTCTGTACAACCATATGGGTTAGTGTCGTTGAACCTTTTTAGACATGATACATGTCGAATGACTTCACAGTAACACACATAGAAGTGATTCAAGCTTCTACAGATCAGTAATCGATTAGCGAATATTATTATCCTCAGCGATGTGAATACTCTTCTCAAAGATGTTGGAATTCTTTTCTTAAAGACATCACAGGTTATGGTCATAAAACTGAACATGTAATATGTTGTAATTTTTAGGTTGTAAATAGCAAACAGTTACGTAAATTTAAGTGTGTGTGTGTAAACGCTTTACCTCTCAATTAGTAGTGTTCTCTGAGCTGGTTGGTTTAATTGCAAAGCTTTCTTCGTACATCTTCAGCTCAGCCCAAGTTTTAGCATAAAATGAAATGATTTAAATTCTCCAGGAATGATAGAATTACGTCTCCTAGCAACCATCTTCGTGACTGATAGTCGATTTACATCTGTATTGATCATCTTTTTATTGACTTGGATTTTGAACTTTCTCGTTACATGATTTACTTTTATTAGTTGGTAGATTTGGTCTATATTAACATGTTTGTTAATCGCGGGGTGATTCGCTTGAGTACCAGGCTTCTAGGAATTCTCTGGCATTACTTTTGGTGTTTCCTCTGTTTAAAATTCCGACATTATCCCAATCATCAAATTGGTGTCCATAATTATCTACATGCATTGATATGAAAGAATATATATCATATCTTTTTACAGCTAATTTGTGTTCTTGTATTCTGATTCGAAGGGGACGCCCACTTTGGTCCATGTAATGTCTGTTACAGTTCATACATGCAATTTATTTATAAATTCCTAGAAGCCTAGTACTCAAGTGAATCACCCAGCGATTAACAAACATGCTAATATAGACCAAATCTACCAACCAATAAAAAGTGATCAATACAGATGTAAATCGACTATCAGTCACGAAGATGGTTGCTAGGAGACGTAATTCTATCATTCCTGGAGAATTTAAATCATTTTATTTTATGCTAAAACTTGGGCTGAGCTGAAGATGTTGTCCACCAGATGTTGTCACCAAAGTGAGAGGGCGAAAGCGGATGCCCGGCGCTCTTCACCGGGTTGACTGTCCATTGGATGACAGTCTAGGGGAGATGGCTAAACCCTGATTCCAAACCTCCAACGACTGGCGTATGGAGCTCACTGGAGCTCACCGGCAGACGTATGAACAAAGGG